ACACACACACACACACACACACACACACACACACACACACAGTTTTTCGGCGGAGGGCTCTGGTGGCGGGTCTGACGAGGGCACAGTCAGAGGCTTGTGGTGGTAGCACCATGGTGGCGGCTGGCATGTGGGATGTGTGGCGCGTAGGGCTACAGGCGGCCCTCGTCGCTGCAGTGGGTGCCGTCACCTACCGCGTGCTTCTTCCCGCGGCGCCAACCAAGGCACATCGGCGGATCCAGTGGCTCACTGGAGTCGGTCTTGCGAGTGTGTTGGTGGTTAGCAGCACCTTTCTGGTGGCATCAACGCACAGTCCTCAGGCTCGCATGACTGGGCATCACCTCGTGTCCTTCTTACTGTCTGGCAGTACCTTCCTGGCCCTCTCGCGCGTGCTGACCGCAACAATCATTGGCCATGATGCCCAGCTTCCGCCACGCACTCTCCTAACGTTGCCAAAGTATCTTTTGGCCTTTTTTACAGCTCCGCTTTCACTTCGCTCAGTAGCCCCCGAGACGAGCGCCTGCCAACGCTATCGGGGGCGCTGGGACGAAGTTCCGGGGCGCCTCCTACTGAAGATCGCTATTCTGTTTGTCACACTCCGATATGGCGTCGCACTTCATGTGCGCTGGGTCGATCAGTCTCTCTGGTACTGCAGCATGGTTGGCAACGTCGTTTTCTATCTCTTGCTGAGTGGAACAGAAGATGCCTTTGCCTTGGTTCTGGAACTTGGTGCTGGTCTTCACTTCTGGCCCAGCTTTGACGCCCCCTGGCTGGCCAACTCCTTCCGCGACTTTTGGAGCTTCCGATGGCATACTCCGTTTCGTGACATGAACGTGGCAATCGTGCGCGCTGCTCGGGCAGCGGGCTGGCCTACGCCAATCGCCATCAGTCTTATCTACATTTACACCGCAGCATGCCATGCTGGTCAGCTCTATCTCACGATTCATGAAGTACCGCTGGGCATCGTCAGCTTTTTCCTTGTGGCTGGGACGCTCGCCTTATTTGAGGACCCTCTCTGGCGTGTCCTCGACCCTCTTCTTCGGTGTGCACCTTCAAAGTCGGGAAGGCATTGGCTTCGTCGAGCCATCGTGCTTGGTGTCCTTTGCGCTTTGAGTCCTTTGTTTTGGTTCTCCTTCTGGGAACACCGATTTTTACAAGCGCTGTGCCGTGTGTTTGACCTGATGTAATGGCTGCTCGCAGGAGAGCGAAGCTCTGGGAAGCCAGATGTGGTGGCGCCAACTCTTGACAATTTTGTTTTTGTCAAATACGATGTCAGGCAAGCCAGTAGCCGACTATCAATAGGCACGGTGCTTGGTTTTCCTCCATATTAAACAAATGATAATTGAAAGACTTCTAAAGTCGCCCTCTAAAATCCACGCGCAGGATCGGCAGCGCTAAACTCTGATTCTCAAGTACGGTCAGACCAAACGCAACAGCAACCAAGCCAAAACGGACCCAAACCAACAAGCAGCAACAGAGAAGAGCAGTGGTTTAGATTGTTGCATCGGCCGAGATCACCTCGTCCAACTCCGTACAATCCTGTCCTATCCTTCCAGCAATGTCCATGATAACCTGCAAAAACCCAGTTGAGCGACGCAGTCGTTAGGGGAGACGGGGAAAAAGTCCCAGTGATTTGGAAGCAGTCGATCACCCCAATGCAAGTTGCAAATAGTTGGGGGCGCCACGACTTACATTGCACCAAGCATCAACGTCGAGCTTGGCACCCGTCAACCGCGCCTGCCCTTCCTGCAGTAAGCGGCGGTAGTTTTCTTTAATGTCAACAACAGCACCACGCGCAGCTGTGCGAACGCTGGGTGAGCTGGACGCTGTGTATTTGACAACGGCGCGCTTCAAGCCCTCATAACACTGCGGCCGGTTCAAAATTGGATTGCAACAGTATCAACTTGTGAGCAGGTGGACTGGAAAAACTCGCCTTGGGACATGAACACACGAAAAAGAGAAACGGCGTATGTGTCGGCACGTACCTGCAGCACTTGCTCCAAGACCCAGATGGTTTCCTCCTTGGTGCTACCCAGCGCCAAACCACGAAGGTTGGTACACGCAGCCGTCATGGACTTGAGTCGAGCTTGCAAATCCAGAAGGACGGCGGGGACTACGGATTCGGTCGGCACGCGACGCGGTGGCAGCTTGGGCGCGGACCCTGACTTCTTCGACCCTGTCGCTGAAGCCACCTTCTTGCTCGGGGTAGCAGCGCCGCGTGATGTGGATCGTACGCTCTTGGTCCTTTTGCTCTCAGAGCCCGTCGCACTTTTTCCACTGTTGCTGGTGGCAGCCTGGGTGCCTTTGGACGTGTTCTTGGGCGCCTTGCTCGTCTTGGATGAAGGTGCCTTGCGGGTAGAGGCCGCCCGAGACAGACCGGTGTCAATTTTGGATCGAACGGTCTTGCGCGTCGTCGTGCTGGTTGTCGACTTGGCTTCGCCTGTCTTTGGTGGAACCGCACCACGGTTGGCGGCTGCCTGTTGACGACGCTTTTGTGTGGCACTGGAGACGGGTCGTGTGGTGGCGGGCTTGGTGGCAGGCCTATGCAGGCGATCACCAGAGGGCTTTGTACGTGTAGTTTTGGCAGCGCGCTGAGCCGATGCCTGGGCCGCTGCCTTGTCTTGGGACAATGCTTGCTTCTTGCGGCGCAGTGCGGCCAAGTCTGGCGGCTTGCTCGTCTCTTCTGCAGTGAGGAAGGCGGGTGCCACCTGCGTTTGAGTCCCCGATGTCGCAGCAGATTGGTCCGTATGGCCGGGGATCGGCGAGCTTGATTCGGTGAGAGATGCCACAGGAGACTTGTTTGAACTTGCTCCGGTGGGCGACACCATGTTTTCGGCTGGCATATTCGACTCTGTTGGGGCTTCGTGCATAGCCATTGGAGCAGCGGTCTCGGCCTCAGCATGATGACGGTGTTGCGCTTCGAGCGCTTGCGTGGGCTGGACAAACTTGGCATGCTCTCCACGGGTGCCTGCAACTGCTGTGTTCTCCTGTGTGCATGACTTTTCGTCCTCGGGAAGGGGAGTCGCAAGTGGTGAGTTTGGTGAGGACAGAGTGGGCTTCAACTTGAACTCGGGTTGGGGCTCGACCTGTGACTCAGTGGTAATTGGTGCCTCAGAATCTATCTCACTCTCCAGCTGTGCCTGCGGCTCAGGCATAGCCTCGGGCTGATGTACCTCGGGCACCTCAGCGTAGCCCTTCAAAGGAGGTATCATTGATGGCGCCGTGTCGCTGTCGTGTTGTTCCAAAACTGGGGCTTTAGAGTAGCTCAAGCCACGCCCATCCTCAGCAGCCTCGCCTGGCTGTGCTAAAATCTCATCAGCGTCTGCAGACCCCGAGTTCTGGCTCAACAGTTCGTTGGGTGTGTCTCGGCTTGCACCAAAGTCTCGAGTCGAAGCCTGTTGTTCTGATACTGGCTGGCTAGGCGCGGCGTCACCAATACCGTTGGGCAATTCAGCATGCTGCGGCAGTTCTGTCAGCTTGACTGTGGTCACACCATCCTCGGTCTCCTCCAAGCTCGACATCTGGTCTTTGGCTACCTCTGTCAAGCTAGCTTGTGGGCTAGATGCATTGGCAGCTAGTGTGACTGGAGATGGTGGTTCTACCAAAGTTGCGTCCAAGTCGTCGCTGGCCAAGGCGTCTGGTTTGTCCTCGACCTTGGAGTCCTGCAGGTGCTCATCCGAGGCCTCGACCTGGGGCTCGGGCGAAGTCCGTGCACTGTTCCATGGGCTTGTGCTGTGAATGGAGCTTGTCTCACTTGCCAAAGGATCAATATCCCATGCGCTGTCATCCCGATTGGCCGGTGTGGAGTTGGGGTCGGATGTCGCGCTTTCATCCTCGGTCTCATCAGCTGGCAGTTCTTCTGGAGCCACTTGGCTCGAGCCATCCGCCTCCATGGCAATATCGTCGCTTTCGCTTAGGCCCACTTCATCTTGCTCAGATGCAGTGGCGTCCGAGTGGAGGTCGCCCTCCTCTTCGCTCTCTGGTACTTCACCCCGATCGTCAACACTCGCCGTTTCATCCGTGTCTGCTGCCACGCTTTCGGCGATGCTATGCACAGCATTCGGGGTCGGAGCTTCGGAAGGCTCTTGAGACAATTCCATATCAGCGCTGCCGTCGGGGCTGATGGGATTCAATTGGGCCGCTGGTGGCAGGATGGGCTCACCGAGGCCACCCAGCGAGGCACGATTGGACGGTGGTAAAAAGGGTGACTGGCCATTGCTGTCAAAGTCGCCTGCTTCGAAAAAGGCTCGGGCCAAGGCAGCCAACTCAGCTCTGTCCTCGTTCTCTTCATCCTCATGCTCCTCATCGTCGGTGTAGCTGGGGCTCAAAAGGTCGAACAAGCCGGATGCCTCCCCGTCCACCGAAGCAGAGCGTGAGTGGTCGAAGTGGTGTCGCATCAACGTGGTATCGCTGGCCGCGGCGTCTGTCGTCTCGGGGCGAGATTGCTCCGTCTCGCCTTCACCATCAGCCGTGGTGTGCTCCATCGCCCAAATGGATTCGAGCTCGGGACTCATCGTTGTTGCGGTTGTCTCTGCAAGAGGGCTGGTCTTTCCATCCTCCAGAGTCTCCGTTGAGAGTGGAGCAAACAGTAGCGTGGCATCAAGGTCCGCCTCCTCTTCTGTGGGGCCATCTGCCTCTTCTTCGTCAAGTTCAAAGGGGTTTGAGCTAGCCAAAGAAGACGCATTTGAGGTTTCGGCGCCCACACGGGACGCAGGTGAGTCGGATCGTTCGGATGTGGACACAGAATTCCCGCGGGATCGAGACCGCGAGCGCTGGAACGCCAACTCATCAGACGAAATGATCTTCGTAATGCTGGAGGATCGTTGACCTACGTGACGCAAAATACAGTCGAAAGAAACGAAAGAAGCTTGTCAGATGTGGAGCAAAGCAGAAAAGTGGTATCACACGTGTCCTGCTGAGCGCGCGAGCCACCCCATATCTCGGACAACTTACGGAAGCGGGCGCGAGAATCCACCGAATCGGAGCGATCCCGTAGCTGCGGCACAAAAGTGCCATCCAAGATAGATTTGAGAGAGGTACAGAGGGAATGGATGCTGGGCCGTTCGCTGGCGTCCAAAGCAAAGCAACACGCAAGCATGCTGTATTGCTCGGGTGGCGTTCCTACAACATCCCACATGTCCACGGGCCGGCCATGAAGAAATGCACATCCTCGACCAGGAAAGTTTTGCAGAGACAGAATGGCCAAAGAATATTGGCCCATGAAGCCGACAAGGCACCGTGTATGTCGACATACCAGCAGGACAAGCCAACGAGTGGTGAACAGCCTGGCCGGCGCGGACTTGTTCGTCAGTCAGATCTTCAAAGGGCAATGACTCGCCGAGAACCAAGAGCTGCCAGGCTGTAACGCCAAACTGGTATACGTCAGAGGCAGTGCCATACCGCCTGATAACACGACGGCACATGGGTGAGTGAGTTGCGTCATCAAGCCGCAACAACGTTCAACATCGCGGCATGACAAGAGCGGGCATTGAGCGTACTGATATTGAAGAACTTCGACCGGGAGGTGGCGCAAAGGCATCGAGTTTAATTCAAACTCATTCACGTTTAAGAAGGGGCGCTTGCCTGATGGCCGAGCCAGCTCGAAATCCGCCAGCTAGGTTCAAATCAGCACGAACCGTCAATGTTCAAGCAGACGGAGAAGAGTGGCATGCGAAATACAATTTCGAGATTGTACCTTGAGATGGGATGCTGTGCTCAAGCGCAGTGCACCAAGGTGCACGTTGCGGTGTACAAAGCCACGCGACTCAACAAAGCTGAGTGCCGTGGCGAGTTGCCACGCATATGCAAGTACCGTGGATCGATCGATGTGGGCACGGCTCCGGTCCAAGTACTGCCCCAGCCAACCCACCTCGAGATGTTCCAGGACCTAAGGTAATTGTGCAGTGAGTCACGGGAAGAGGTCTGAATTCACACTGAGGTGAAAAACACGCAACAGACCAACCATCATGGGTTCCTCCCCGAAGATCATGGCCAGTAAGTGAACAACATGTGGATGCACCAACTGCGCAAGTGCAGCAGCCTAGATATGAACCCAAACCAAGATGAGAAGGCCTCCAGCTATGGTTATGCAGGACAATGTGCAGGCCACATGCAGTAAGCACCAGGCTGAGTGCATCAGAAGGCTCACCTCATAAAGGAAATTTTGCCGTGGCTCAAACATGCTCGTTTTGACTTCTTTGACGGAGATGGGACGCCCGCCAAAGGCGCCCGCCGTTCCAGTCGATCCCAAGTGTCCACGGTAAAAGATATGAAACTGGTTCTCGCTGCGGGTGGAGAGAGGCATACAGAAGTCAGAACAGTGATTATATTGGCTCATGGCATTGCGTGCTTACTTGATATTTTGTTCCAAGAGTAGCTCTTCGGCTGCCATATGAAAAGGGCGCAAAAGCCGCTCCAAGTTGACGGGGTCAAGACTAACGACATCCGGGTCACCAGCGTGAGAAAATGAAAAAAAAAAGAACAAGCCTGACCTCTGCCATTGTGAGCCAGAGACGCACTCATCATTTTGATCCTCATCGTGCTCGATGACTGCCTGAGCGCGCAATGGCGATGTGGGCTCAGAATCTTCAACCTCGCTCTCGGGAGGGGGCCACACAAAGGATTCACCCTGGTCGCTAGCCGATTCTGATTCCGCCGGCTCCACGGCCGGCGTACCTGTACCACTGGCAGACTCAGGCCAGGGCGCATGGCCCCAGAGAGCATCCACCCGTCGGGGTACAATGAGCTGCACAAAGCCACGAAGCAGGTTGACAAAACTGTCGCCCAGGAACACATTGCGAAAATCCACGCCAATGCTCTGGGTGGCCATTCGTGGCGCACAGTCCGCGCAAGACACAATGAGCTCGACAAAATCCGGTTCTACACAAGAAACAAACAAATGGCCAGGGGGTAATCAAACCTGAGCGACACCCGAGGTGTCGGCGAAGGAAAGGCGGATGACAACGCGTTTGGCCGATTGTGCTGACGTGTCCCGCTCAATTGAGGTGATCTGACGGATCCCGCAGAGCCTGTGTGGAAGTGTGATTTGAAGCGCGAGCATTCGTCGTCAAAGTTGTTGCCTGTCCCAGGCAAACGGTATGCGAGGTAAAGGCGTGCCAGGAGAAGGGACCAACTTGATGGGAACTGGAAGATCGGCACGCTCATATGCAATATCACCGCCGGGCTGAAGCAGCGCCTGGGCATGAAAGTGCTCCGCATCGGACAAATCTGCAACGGAAATTCACAGTTGGGTGCCAGGTGAGTTGGGCAGTCGGTGGTGATAAGCCAGTTGGCAATTATGCAAGTGCCAAAAGGGGAGGGCAGGTGGTTGAACACATGATGCACGCACAGATGATGGCCGTTAAGCGGATGTCAAAGTACTGAGGTGCAAGGTTGGCCACGCGCTGCAGGTAGACCTCAGCGCACTCAAAGCTGGTATATGAATCGTAGGGGCGCAAGCGTGTCAACAAGCGCTTGCGAAAGTCCTTTGGGCTCTGGATGAATGCGCCAGCAACGAGGCATGAGGGCAGGTGGTAAACTGCTTGTTTGGCAAGTTGTTAGCACGCATGGGCCGGTCACGCACCTTAAAGCTGGCCAAGATGGTTTTGGGGATGGCAAATTCAAACTGTGTGCTTTTGTCCAAGCTGCGCAGCACCAATAGGTCAAGGCATGAAAACTTTGGAAGGAGGCGCACGATTAGCGCAAATGGCAAGGAAGCAGTACATACGCTAGGAGATGCTTATCGCGAATAGCGATTCTATCCACAGCACGGTGGGAGAGGACTTCGCGGCGAATACAGAGCGCAGCCAGGTCTAAGACCATATCCATGTCGAGCTGTTGCACATTGCCTACTTGCTGCAAAAAGTCGGCGTAGCCACGGGCCAAGACTCGACGATGCACTTGATGAAATAAGTAGACTGCAATGTCGGCATGACTCTGCGAGAAAGATGACACGTCATCGGGGATGTAAAGGCAGAGCAAGGCTAATCGCCAAGCTGGGCCTGAGCCCGCGTTAACATCTTTCTCGGCACGTTCTTGTAAAGCGCGCAAACGAGCCAAGAGCTCTCCAATCTATCATATAAACGCAGACACAGATGCAGACACGCAAAAGAAGGTCAAATCCGAGGAGATGAGCCAACAGAGCGGGAGATGCATTCTTGGCTAAATGAGGAGTGTTTTTTTTTTTTTTTTTTCCGAAATCCAAATCTAGCATACATTGGTGTCAGGAGATTGAACCTCGACATCTCCCGTGCCTAGCAGCACAATACGTGGAGTGTGGCCCATAACGGTCAGTGCTATTTCCATTCAGGGCCAATGTGAGACATGCAAGTGGCGGGCCGGAGGAGCGTACCCAGGTCTCGAACCAGACAGATCGCGAAATATTGTTCTGGCTCAGCAGCGCTCGTAAATTTGGAGCAGAGCGCAGATATGATGTCCTGGATCGGGCCGAAAGAATAGCCTTGTGTTAGTTAGCCTGGACTGGTTGTATGGGAACCAAAATGTTTTGGAAGAAGCCCCAACGGCCAAGGCTTACCGCTGCCTTGGCATCAGGGCCATACTGGATGGACCGAAAATCACCAGTCTCAAGTTGAATCTACGCAAGGCCGCGTCATGAGGCAAAATGAGCGGTCAGTGCGCAGCCAAGGGTGAAGGCGAGGTGGGCTCGGGTAATCCAGTGCATCACGCACGTTCAGGCGCTGGTAACCCTCTGGGACTTGGATGGTATTTTGACGCCGTTGCAAATTGAGAGCAGCCTGGCGGCTTGACCCAAAGCCCAGGAGGCTACGAATGGCGCTCATGTTGGCGATACCAAAGTGGCGGACAGCGGCTCTATCAAACCGAGTGCCCGGTCGGTCGGTCGGTCGTTGCACGGGCTCGGGCCACGCTCGTGCGCCAGCGCAGAGCTCAAGGAATGGTGGTGACACCAAACTCAGGCACTTTGTGCTTGCGAAAGACGAGGTCCAGAAGCAACTGCGAGCTCCGCCATGGCGGTGATCCTGAGCTGGTTTGAGAATCCCGATTCGAAGTGAGTCTATGCGCTCCGTCAGGATCGAATCGCAATACAACACACGACGAACATGCAAACACGACAGGTTCCACAGGTGTTGAGAAAAAGCAAGTGCCGGGCAGGAGAAAGGCGAGTTACAGATCAACAAGCTGGAGTCTAAACACCAAACGATATTGTTTAAATCCATGCATCCCTGTTTCCTACACGCGTCAAGGGCAGGACTCGGCCCGAGGCGGGCAGCGCCACAGACCAAAACAACGACCGTTGACATTAACGTGCAAACTCACCGCTGGTTGTTGTTCGTTCTGTGCTGCTAAAATGACAGCTCAGCGCACTTTGCTTCCAGCCAGCGGCTGTTCAACTGGGTTGGCCCTTCCTATCCACATGTGCTTCCACTTCTATTCCTGCCGTATGCGGGTAGAACTGAGACCGGCTGCCGATCACACGTGATGCCGGAGCGAGCGAGCACCACAAGTCAAACAGTGAAAACAACAAAAAAATAAAAAAAAATAAAAAAAAAAATTCAGCACGACAATAACTCGAAAATTTTCTGCACAAAGTACTCTCCTTTCAAGTCAAGGTGATGTTGCTAATTTCACTATACACTCGTTAACGGCTTTTTCTACAACAAAAACAGGAGCTACATGATTTCCCTCTTGATCGCAATTCCACATTAACGGGACCCCTTTTTGAGCTCGACGTCCGAGTCGGGAGAGCCATGGCTGGGGATGGTTGGAAAAACTGGCCCAAGTGCCATATACACAAGGTGACAAGGTGCAACATAGCCGATTTTACTAGCAGAGGCTGATTCGGGTGACAGTAACGAATAAATCCCCTCATGTTTTGCTTCGACAAATTGGTATGGACGGCGGGAAAAATCCTTGAATTGCCTCTCTGGCGAGCATGCGTGTTGTGGATGCTGTCCAAACCAAAATTTTCCATGCGCTGGTATGTGGCGGGACACAGCTACTCCCCCAAAGGATTATCCATCAATTGGGTAAAAGCAGGTGGGTGTGGGCGAGGTCCAACAAGTGGGCGACAATCGTGACACAAAGGCTATTGCCAATTGCCTTGCGGGCCTGACGGTCTGTCACGCTGGACGGAATAACAAAATCTGTCGGGAATCCATGAAGCCGCAGCATCTCCTGTGGCGTAAAATATCGAAGCTCCAAGGCCTCGACAGCAGGCCAGCCCGCACCAGGAGACGGCACGTCGAGCTGCTCAAACGCCTCAACACGCTCCGCCAGCCCACCTCGAGGCTACTCAAAGTAAGACGAAGGAAAAAATATGAGGCTAGATAAGACGAAAGGAAAACGCACAGGTACCATTGGGATTGCTACGCATATGCATACCTGAAACACAGAGCCAGTGCCTTCGACTTTATGCGAATAACCCTTGGTAAAACACAAGCTGCGTCGCTCTTCCGGTCGCACAATGTCCAACAGCCGGCCCCATCGCAATAACAACTAAAAAGGCGGCAGAAAGGCAGTGAAAGCAGAAGCCGCGGATGACTGTGAGCAATGCTTGACCGCAGGCGGGCAAGGAGGCCACGACTACGCATCCATTGCCCCAGCACGACCAACTTTTTGAGGTACTTGATGCTCCGGTCCAGGGGTTGGGCATGCCTGCAACGCTTCACGCATAGAAATAACGGGTTGCTGGAACCAAGGGCGTATCGCTTCCTCACCCGGCCGCTGCCAGGTAGGTGCCGAGCGAGATGAGTGGAGGACAAAATCCCCATACGCGGCGGGTGGGACGTGAGACATCCCGCATTATTTTTTTTTTTTTTTGACCCGATGGCGCAGGCTTCTGCGATACACACCTGTTGCGGATATGAATAGTCGGAAACTTGACTTTGTTCAACAGCAACACGATAGGCGTCATCGAATGTGCCTCCCAGACCTGCGATAGCACCAGAGCACGCTCGTGTCGATGTGAGTCCTCACACCAAACTCGCTAGTTGGTAGTCCTGGCTCGAATTGGAGCGCACCGGGTAGATGATACATCAAGGTCGAGGAGTTGCCAAAAGCTGCATCTGCTGCCGTGGCAGAGGGCTCGGCACGAAATCGATCGCCGCGAATGGCCAGCAAAAAGTAGCGCAACCGACTATTGGGCACCCCAAACTGCCACACATCCATTGTAAGCTCGCAAGCGTCAGCTCATCGCGCAATCTGAGCAAGTTGCTTTGCTACAAGCACACGCCTTTGAAAGATTACCTGATCTGGGGAGAGCCAAAACTCTTGAAATCGATACTGGAGGGTATTCAACGTTGCCACCAGCTCTTCGCGGCCTTGGCTGGACTCGAAGCCAACCACGTTCTCTACCAAGATGACCGACGGTGGGTTCTATCTTTGCCCAAGCGTGTGTGGGGGCAAGCAGGCAGGAATTTCTGTCAATGGTGACGGCTGTTCAGATCAAGACCATCCGTTGAAAGCCAGGCATACGTCGCACCTTCATCTGGGTGAGGGCGTCAAGGAGGTACCGAAAGCTGTCAGAGCGGGCGTCTTCCAGCCCGCGCTGATGGCCTTGGCGCGAATATGGCTGGCAAGGAGGTGACATGAGCCACAAGTCAGCCGCCAGCTTCTCAAGCTGTCGAATGGGCACCGCCTCTGCAAGGAGGGCGGGAGGGCAGGCACCGCAGCCGATCGATCAAACAGCAACAGCGGTTGACCTCCCCAAGGCCCAAAGCAGGCCCAACGTTTACGCGAGCAGGACACATACGGATGTTTCGATTCTTGATGAGGGTATCCGGGTGATTGGCTTGGTAGACTGAACGAAAGCCGGTGG